CCGGCCGGAAGGCTTTGAGTCCCGGAAGTCCAGCCGTTTTGGTTCCTAGCATCTCTGCTTCGCGAAGGGGAGGAGGCAGGGAAACCGCCAGGGGAGGGGGAGGCGTTCACTGAGAAAGGCTTCTTCTGCTGGAGGGGAGCTTCTAGGGGTGGGGTGTTGGGGTTGGGAGAGGCCTTGTTGTGTGCTGGTGGCTCTGGGCCCTGTGCACTGCTCTATCTCTGGAAGGAGGGCTGGTGGGGGTGGCCAGCCACCTCTTCCTCCTGGCCCGCCAGCTTGCAGGCCGTGGAAGGGGATATGCAGAGGGTGCTGCCCTTCCTTCCAAGTTGTGAAGAAAAAGACCCCCCTCCTGGTCCCTTCTGGGGAGTTCTAGATCAGCACCTAGCCTGAGAGTCCCTGGGGTGCCGCCTGAGCATCCAGGCCCCCCTTTGCCTGCCCGGAAGTGACATTTGTGGCGTCTGCAATCTTCCTTTACTTTGATTTCCGATGGCTGCAGCATTAAGTGACTCCTCTGCCTTAGTTTTGCACAAGTATCCGAACAATTGCTTTTTCCTACTTTTTTTAAAAAAGGGTGGGGTGGGGTTGTTCCTTGGACCTCACAAGTCCCTGGACAGCCCTGTGGGGGAACCCCCCCCTAGCCAGGGTGAGAAATCTGCCACAAAGAGAGGAGTGGCAGCGCATCAGCCGTGCAAGGGGTGTGTGAGCAGCAGAGAAGGACTCACTTTCAGGCAGAGAAGCTGCCTTTCCCCGGGAGTGGAGTGGGGGAGGGACAGAGTGGACTTCCGCTGGCTCAAGAGGGGCAGCGTAGTGACCTCCCCCTCTTCCCCCAGCACCAGGGGCTTCGGCAGAGGGTGGGGGGCTGCCCCATGCCTTCCCCCCACCCTTGGAACCCTGACCCTTTCTTTTCTGAGGGGGGCGACCTCCTTGGCCTTTGGGAGGTGCGGCCAAAGAGAGATGGGAGTTAGGGGTCACCTAGGCCTTCTCCAGTAGGAGAAGGCCAACCTTTATAGCCGGAGGGAAGCCCCCCCCCACTCTTCTCACACAGGGCTAAGCTTGTATTTCAGTGCAATTGAAAGTTTGTGACATTCTCGCCCTCCCCCTCCACCCCAAATGGTGGGGTGAGTTTTCAGGGGGCTGGGAGTGTGGAGGGGGGGCGACCGCTGCAGGTGGGAGTTCTGTCCTTTTTGTGATTGGGATCCGAGCGGGAGGCTGGGTGTCCTCTTGGCCCAGGAAGGTGGGAATCCTGCCCAGAGCCCCTCCCGTCAAGGAGGAGAGTCCCCCTCCTAAATTAGAACTGCCTGACTCCCCCCCCCCCTTCCACATTCTGGAAGAATGTGCTCCAGCCCATTCAGCTGCCTCCCTCCCCACGCCCTCTGCTCTCTGGGGAGGAGGCCGCCTGCTGCGCGAGGGGTGGGGCCGCTCCTCCAGTGATTGGCCTGGGGCAGGGCGGGGGCCGCGGTGTGCAGCTTCACCCAAGCAGGCAGGAATTGCCTGTCCACCCTGGGCGGAGGAGGCGAGTTGGGGGGGAGGGGAGCCTGGCAGGGCTTTTGCCCGGCTGCCAGCTGGCTTTCTCCCCCCCACCCCACCCCGCCCCCACCCCTGCTCTCCTCCTCAGTGTTGGCTGTCCTTGGAAGAGCGGCCTGGCTTCCAGAATTCAGGCACGGCTTGGCAGCTGAGCCCATGGTGCAGTGCTTTTGCATACAGCCAAAGCAGAAGAGGGCGAGGGCCCTGCTGACCAGCATTTCCCACCTGGCTATATACCTAACCAGGGCTTCAGCCAGGGGCTGCTTAAATTAGCACAGCTTTGTTTCGGGTGGAAGGAGAGCCCTGGGTTCTTGGGGATGGGGTGCATGGCCTTTGGGGAGAAAACAAGCTGCCAGGCATGGGCTTGGCACAGCAGCCCCACAGACACCTGTGGGCACAAGATGTGCAGAATGTTTTTTTTTTTCCGGGGGGGGGGATCAGGGCATTCTGGCTGGAGAAGACGGGATCTGGTTCCATTCATTCATTCCCCCCCTCTCTCCCTCTCCCTCTCTCCCTTTCTCTCTCCCTCTGTCTCTTCCCTCTCCCTCTGTCTCTCTCTCCCTTTCTCTCTCCCTCTCTCTCTCCCTCTGTCTCTTCCCTCTCCCTCTGTCTCTGTCTCCCTTTCTCTCTCCCTTTCTCTCTCCCTCTGTCTCTTCCCTCTCCCTCTGTCTCTCTCTCCCTTTCTCTCTCCCTCTCCTTCTCCCTTTCTCCCTCTCNCCTTCTTAGTTCTGTGATGCCCCCCATGTGCTGTGCCAGGGGGAAGGGGCACCCTCTGCTGCCCAGCTGCCTGGCAGCGGAGGCCTTTGCATGAGGAGAGGCTTTAATTCCTTTCATGTTGTTTGTTTCTGTCCTCTGCTTCGTTTTTTTAACTGTCATGAACGCTCATGGGCAAGGTATAAATAGAAAGAGGGACTCCCCCAGCTATGGGGCAGGGGAGGCTCCCTTTGAAACCCTTGGCTGTCTGGACTTTGACATGGAGCCTGCCCCAATGCCCAGGGCCACCTCCCCAGAGCCGCTGGCCACGGGCATCTCTGGCCCAAAGGTAGCCGGAGGGAGGTCGAGTGCCAGGTGCAGCTCCGGTGTGCGGTGCCCATCTCAGCTGTCCCGGCAACATATGAAAAAGGACCTGGGATCTCTTTGGACTGATGGTCCCTTAACTGGGCCAGCTCAGGGGCTGCCTCATTCTTTCGCAGGGCTGGGCCGCCTCTGGAGTGCCTGGGCCCAGAACCTGTTTTTCAGGCGGGTGTGTGTGTGTGTGGGCTGGAACTGTGTTCAGGACTGGCGGGTCCTGTCCGAGCATCTAACCCGGCCACGGCTGTTAGCTGTGGGAAGGAGGTGGCAGGCTCGGCGTTGCCTGGGGCGGCTGGACCTTGGCGTGGGTTCCGAAGGCTGCTCTGGGCTGCCCCCGTCAAAAGCCGGCGGTCTGGACCTGCGCAGGTTTCTCTGCTGCTTCCCTTGCTTTGCGGGTTACCTGGCTGCTTACGCCTCGCTTACTCCGTGTGCCCATCCCGTTGCTGTGCACCCCGACTTCCTCCACACGCTTCCCTCGTCCTGTGTTGGTGCCCCCAGGAAGCAGTGTGCCAGGGTCCAGCGGTAGCTCTCTTGCCCAGGGACTGCTTTCCAGCTGGGAATATTCCAGGCTCAATCTAGGCATTAGCTGTGGGTGCCTCCTGATCCCAAGGGGCGTGGCCCTCCTAGTGAACTCCTCCCACTTGGCTTTTGCTGAAGATGAAGCGGTGGGGGGGGCACTCATGCAAGTAGGGGATTTCAGGGAACAAGGAGATTTGGGGGGGGATGCCATGTGGGCCCCCTGGGTGCATAGGAACAGTTCTTCCCATCGGATACGCCTGTGACTCTGAGCCATTTCCCTGGAAGCAACTCCTCAGTGGATGTCACATCCAGGGCTGGCAGCTCCATCCAACCTGGTCTCCTTGAGTGGTTCCTGGGAGCTTCTGGTGGGGCCTCTGGAGGCTGGGGGGTGGGCTGTTTGGGGGGGGACATTTTTTTCCCTTTTGAGCAGCCCCTCCCTTCCCTCCCACGCCCACCGAGGACTGTTATTTCTTGCAATCTGGGAGAAAGGAAGTGAAGGCTCCACCCCTCCGCCTTCTGAACATTTGGCGGGAGGGGGCATTGGGTGGGGGCCTCCCAGCCTGGCCGCAGGCCCAGCCTGGCCACCTGTGGTGGTGGTGGGGGCGGTCACTCTGGCAGATGTTCAGCAGAGAGGCTCTCGGTTGCTGGGAGCCCTGGGGCCACCCAGGAGGAATCTGCGAGGGGGTGGTGGAGGGAAGGATCCTCCCGCCATTCCCGTGCCCTCTCTTGGCACCATGAGGACAATGGAGAAGGAGCCCAGCCTTGCCAATGGGTGCCCTCTGGACGGGCTTGGCCTGCAGCTCTCCCAGCCAAGCGCTGCTTGAACGCGCGCCCCCCCCAGCCTGGTCAGCTTTAGAAGCAGGACATTTTCCCAGGGACCCCCCCCCCCACCTTCCGGCTCAGTGCAGCTGCCTGGGATCCAAATGAGAGACACCCTCCCTCAGCCCTCTTCCGCCTTGCGAGAGGAAGTGGGTTGGCGAATGCGGGCGCTGCCAGTGAGGCCACCTGCTGAGGCCCAGTGCCACCCCGCGATGGTTAGGGGAGCGCATGTCCTCAGGAGGGGCTGCCTGCAGCTCAACAAAGATGCCCTGGGAAGAGCTTGTGAGGGGGTGCCAGCTGAGGGGTGGCAGCAGAAGGTCTCTCTCTTCCCTTCCTTTGCAGATGGCACTGCCCACATAGTCCTCCATGTGCCTCATGCGGAGCCAGCCCCGTAGCACAAGGCCTGGCATGCTGAGGCAGCCCTGAGCACGGAGCCTGCCGCTGGGCGGAGTGGGACTCCTGTGTTTTTCCACCCTTCCCAGCAAGGCTGGGAAGAGCGTTAAGGAGGGGTTACAGGGCAGTGGGGTACCCTGTTGAGGTAGCCTTTCTCCAGGACTGGCCTGGGCTCCCCACTTCTGCCCCGGGGCAGAGCAAGGGCTGTTGAGGAGCAGAAGGGTGGGTCCCACTCCCAGGACAACTCTTTCGGGGTGCACATCTGAAGATCAGTGGGGGCTTCTCCTGCAGCAGAACAACAGTCCTGGGGGGACCCCCAGTGCCCCGCCAGCAGCCTTGGTCCTCCTCGTCTTGATTTCTCTTCCTCGCACAGAATCACCGAGTAAGTTTCCCGGTTTCCGTTGCAACCATCACCAGAGCCCAGTGCTTGAAAAGAATAAATGCAGACATCGAAACAAAAACTCCTCTGTTTGTCCCCTGCTGCAACTTCTTCATGCGCTCCTCGAGGTGCGGAGGGGAAGGTGGCAGAAGCCCCCCCACACGCCCAGACGAGGTGGTAATCCCTCCTGGGAGACCTCAAGTCCTGGAGGCAGGGGAGGAGACCCAAGTTTTTGCTGGAGGCCCAGAGAGCCACGAGTTGAGGGGTTTTCATGGGGGGNCTTCCTCTCCCGTCGCCGGTCTGCCAGCCTGCCGCTTGCCGGCTCGGGATGATCCTGCCCGCGGAGAGATCGGGCGCCGCGCAGAGGGCCTGGCTGGTGAGTGCGCCGCGGGGAGAGGTGAGCGCCACCCCCGTCCCGGCGGCGTCCGGCGGCAGGAAGCGGCGCGCTCGGGAGGCCGAGGGGGGGGGAGCGCTTGGCCCACCTGGGCGAGTGGGACGCCGCCCGCGGGCGCCTACCGGGGCAGTTCGGGCTGTGTTGGCTTGCGACGCGCCGGCCAGGCTGCCCGGGGCGATTGGGCACCAGGCGGGCACCGGGCGGGGGGCTTCTCTGGAGCCCAGGAAGTGTGGGGAGGGGGGAGCGAAGGGGCTCGGCAGTCCTCCCCCCCCCTCGAGCTCCAGTTGCAGGCTGGAGGCCTCCGTTTGATGGGCTGCCCCTCGCTTTCAGGACCTCCCCCCCCACAGCCCCCCGCCCAGCCTCCCCACATTTCCCGAGAAGAGCTGATGTGTAGACAGGGAGCAGCGTCGGTGGCAGCTGGCGGGACCTCCGGGGGGGGGAGAAGCTGAGACTGGAAGGGGGTCTGAGTGAGGGGTGGGCTGTTCCTGGAGGCAGCTTCCCCTCCCTGGCTCGGGGCCGGCAGGATCCACAGCTCTCTCGTTTCAGCACCCCTGGGAGGGATGGTGTGCGCGCGCGCGCGCAGGATTGTGGCTTGGAGGCAAAGATTAAAACTTCTGGGCAGGTGGGTCTCTTGCTGTCTGTGTCCCCCCCCCATAAGATAGAGGAGTAAAAGGGCAGAAGCTACCTGGGGACAGAGGTGCAGGCCTTTCTCGGGAGTTTAGCGCTTGGACGTTGTTCAGGGCACAGGACGCTGGGGGGAGACGCAGCCCCTCCACACACTTTAGTTCTGCTCAAAGGACGGCCCTTGTTTTTTTTTGGGGGGGGGGGAGTCAACTCCACCCACCCTGGCTCAGGAGCAGTAATGCCCACTCCCTGCTGGAAGATGGAGGCTCATGGGTTGGACAGCCTTTTCATTACACCCCCCCCCCCTTTGTGACTCCTTGGCTGCTTCTCAAAAGGCTCTGCCTACTGCTGGGTCCTTTCCCTTCTGCCCCCTCCTCCTCCTCCTCCTCCTCCTCCTCCTCCTCCTCCCCGTGTTATTTGCTCACTGACCCCTGATGGCTGGGAGGGATGGGGAGAGGCTGGTGGGGGCTTCTGCCCTCCACAAGTTGCTTTCCAGGAGCTGAAATCTTTGCCTCCTTCCCCAGAAGAGCCCAGAGAACCGGTCTAGAGGGGGAGCACGGATTTTCTGTAACTTTGGAGGGAGGGGGGTGTACAGGCGTTCAGCTTTGCTTCCCCACACCTGCCCCTCCCTGAGCCCAAGGAAGCGGGCTACCCCCCTCATTCTGCCCCTCCCTACAAGCAGCCCGTCGCCTCGCTTCCCTGGCATTGGTGACAGGGAGCATATGATCGAGATTGCTGCCCGGTGGGGTGCGGGTGGAGAGTGGGGCTGCCTCCCTGGGTGATCCATCCAGACTGACCCTCCCAGAGACGGAAGGGGTCCTCTATGGTGGTGGTGGGGGCTGACTGAGGAAGCCCAACAGCCATGGAGGCTCCTGTGTGAAGCGGCTGGCCGTCTCCTGCTCACTCGCTGGGGCTAAGTGAGGCCTGTGCAGGAGGAGGAGGAGGAGGAGGAGGAGGAGGAGGAAGAGGAAGGGCATGGCCGCTGCACTCCTGCAATTCCGGAGTTCCCAGGGAGCCCAGCAAGGGGGCTTCCGTGGTCTGCCGGCTCTTCTGCCAGGGATCCTGTCAGGTGCCGGCTGAGGTTCCGATTCTCTGCGGGGAGAAACCAGGGGAGGCATCTGCAGAGCCGCCCATCTCTCTCTGGGGGTTTCTGGGACCGAGGAAGCCCGGAATCCCTCTTCCATAGTGTTGGCAACCGACTCCTCTGTCAAGGGTTTCCAGGCAGGGAGCGCGTGGAGGAGGAGTTGGTGGCTAAGGGGAGGGAGGGAGGGGCAGTGGGCGGGCGGGCAGGCTGCGGATTAAAGCAGCGGGGAGGGGGGGAGGGAGAGAGGCGGGGAGGGAGGGGCAGAGCAGCAGGTGCTGCGGGATGCTTGGCAGAAGCGCAGGGGGAGGGTCCGGCAAGGAAGGAGCCCCTGACTCAGCTGGTGGCCCCTGTGGAAAGGGTTCTGCCCCCTGCAGAATTTCTTGCAGGGAGCCTGGTGGAAAAGCAGAGGCCTTTTCCTTAACCCTTTTTTTGTTTTATGGACAGAAGATATATCTGGATGAACCTTACATAGGAGGCTGAGATTCCTTTGGGGGAAAAAATTCTCTGAGATGGCACCTGCTGCCCCCCTCCCCATGTGTCCTCCCCCCCCCCTGCAAGCCTTCGACTGCAAATAGAAGCTGGGTTGGGCACTCAGGGCTCCTGAGGGCATCTGGTGCAACGGGGACACTTATGGGCCAGGCTTGACAATCAGCCTTAACCCCTTGAGGCCAGGAGGTGGAGGGGCAGCCCTAGACAGCAACAGCCTCCCAATGCAGAGGAGACTCCTGGTCTCTCTGGGCGAGCAGAGTGGGGGGCTTTGCCCCACGGCTGCCTGCGAGAGACCCTTGTGGAGGTTGCAGTGACTCAGCTCCGGCTGATGCAACCCTCTGCAGCTGTGCCCCTACCCGCAAAGGGCAGGATGACCTCTTCAGTCTAGGGGCCCACTTGGGTTCAGCAGTGCTGCAACCCCCTCAGAGGGGGCCCCAGCAGCCTCTGCCCCAAGGAGCGGGGCAGAAAGAGCCACTCCCTTCAGTGCCCCCCCCACCGTCTCTGGGGATGTCCATGCTCAACGGGAGGCTTGCAAGCGGAGGGGAGGGGACTGCTCCCCCCCCCAAAAAAAGCTGCACAGCCTGCTTCTCCTCTGCTCAGAGCGAAGCAGGGAGGGGAGGAGAGGGGAGGGATGCTGCCTGTCCCAGATTCTGAAAGGCTGGAGGGGGGGGACAAACCAGACGCCTGAGCCCATCCAGAATGTTTGGGGGAAGGACGCCGGCCTCGCCCTGCCAGAGAAGAGGCTAGGGGGGGGGCTTGCTGGCTTAACCACTCCTGAGTGGGTCTCTCAGCCCCACGGGGGGGGCGGGGCGTCTCCTCTTGGAGCTTTGCATTCAAAGCCCCTGGAAAGCAGCTGGACAAACCCTCCCTCTCTGCCCTTTGCCCTTCGCCCTGCCCTCCGAGCAACGGAGCAGAGCTCTCCTCCAGCCTGCCTGGGCCAGCCCTGACCCATGCCCAATGCCCAACTGGAATGCCTCCAACCCCTCCGCGCCAGCTGCAGAAGGCGCTGGCTCCTTTGGGGGCTGGGAGGTTTGCCTCCCTATCCAAGGACTGGGTGCCCTTTCGAGAAGGTGGCCGTTGGGCCTTCTCAGCCTCTGCCATATCTCTGTTTTGCATGAATCCCTCTTGGCCTTTGGATTGGTTTTGGGGGTCTCCTCCCTTCCCAAGCGCCTTGGGGGCAGGAGCCATGGGGGGGCTGCGTGGGGTCCCAGGGGGCTCCTCCTTCAGACACTGTGTGGGGTCTCTTGCCACTAGAGAGCCCCTCGGGGGGGGATTACGGGCCGCCTGGGTGGCCTCAGAGGTTGGGGAGGCACCGTTCCCGGGGAGGCCAATCGGTTTCTGGGCTGGGGTCTCCTCTGACGCTCCTTTCCTTTCCCCTTTGCAGTTGGCAGGGGCGGCCCCCGGCAAGGCCAAGCCCAGGATGAGCTCCTCCTCGCTGCTGGGGGAGGGCTCCCTCGAGCCCCCGGTGCTGCTGAGCGACATCAAGACGGAACCCCCCGAAGAGCTTCTGGCCACGGACTGCAACCAGCCACAGGCCGAGCCGGTGGACCTGTCCCTCCATAAGCCCAAGGGCTCCCTGCAGCCTCCCGCTGCTCGCTCGGCGCCCGTGCCAGCTGCCCCCCCGGCCCCCATGGTTCCCATGTCCCCCGTGGGGCTGGCCTCCTCTTCCGCCATCCCCGCCGTTCTCTCGCCCGGCTCCATCCTGGCTTCCACGCAGGGCAGCGGCGGGCAGCAAATCCTGCACGTCATCCACACCATCCCTTCGGTCAACCTGCCCAGCAAGATGGGCAACCTCCAGACCATCCCGGTGGTGGTGCAGTCCCTGCCCGTGGTCTACACTACCATGCCCAGCGACGGCGTGACAGCCGCCATCACGGTGCCCCTGATCGGAGGAGACGGCAAGAACGCCGGTTCTGGTGAGCTCTGCCTGCTATCTGCACCAGGACTGGGAAGGGTGGTCAACGGCCTCGTTCTGGCTGCCGGCAGTGGGAGCCTCCCTGTTCCGGCTACTCTGGTGGTGACCCCCCCCTGCCCAAGCTGGAGGGTATCTTTGTCTGGGGCACCCCAAGGGTTTTCTTCCCTCCCTGGCCCTGTGGGAAAGTGGGGGGAGGAAATGGCTCCAAGGCCGGAGGTCCCTTCTGGATGTGGCTGCCATGTGGGCACGTATGGCTGGGCAGTCCAGGAGGGGGCTGTCTTTCTTGGCCGGGTGGGTGGGTGGGCATCTGAGCAGAAGAGGAACGCTGGGCTTCAGTCGATGCCACTTGCAGGCCCCCCCTTGTGGGCTGAAGCTGCCCTGCCTTGCTCGGGGAGGGAAATTCCCACGTGAGAAGAGAGACAAGCAGGCTAGCCACCCCCCGCAATAATGGACCTCCATGCACTGGAAGCGGAGTGCCCCGCTCTGCGCCAAGGACAAGGTGGTCACGCTGCGCCTTCATGGCAAAGTTTTCCAGGGGGAGGGGGCGGAGTGGAGGAGCTGAGTAGTTGTAACCCGAGTCCTTAGCCCTGGCACACTCCTGCCTCCTGCTGCTGCTGTTGGCGGGGGGGTGGGGGGGCGCTGCTGCCCCTCGGAGAGGCCGGCCTTCGGTTTCCGGAGCAGCTGCCAGGATTCTGGATTCTGACGGGGCTTCTCTCTGTTTCTCCGCCAGTGAAAGTCGACCCCAGTTCTATGTGCCCCATGGAGATCCAGAGCGAGAGCGAGGACAGCGCCTCGGAGAGCGGGACGGGCTCCTTCCCCGACCCACAGAAAGAGTGAGTCCGGGGCCCCAGCCGGGAGGGGGGAGGGGGGTGGGTCACACGAGGGCCCCTCCCCAAAGATCCTGCTGGGCAGGTGCTCTCGGGGAAACGGGGTATGCTTCCGGAGCGCCTTCTGAAACCCTTCCCCCCTCTCCCCCTGTGGCTCTCCGAATGCCTTTTGACAGGCCCCTGGGAGGAAGGCCGCCCCGCCTGGAGTCTCCCGACCTGAAGAAGAGGCGGATCCACCAGTGCGACTTCGAGGGGTGCAACAAGGTTTACACGAAGAGCTCCCACTTGAAAGCCCATCGGAGGATACACACTGGTGGGTAGGCACTTCCCTGGGGCCCCGTTGGTAGCATCCCCCCCTGCCTCGCTCAGCTGCTATTACATTGATTCCCAACCTTGGCCCACCTGAAGATGCGTGGACTTCAACTCCCAGAATCCCCCAGCCAGCTCTGCTGGCTGGGGGATTCTGGGAGTTGAAGTCCACGCATCTTCAGGTGGACCAAGGATGAGAAGCACTGGTCTATTACATTCCAGAGACATCCCCTCCCCTCCCCGGGAGGTGGGGTTCAACAGCTATTCAGATCCATCCTTGTGCTCAAAGCCTACTGCCCCTTTCAGCCCCCACCAGGTCTCTTGGAAGAGTGGCTGGCCGTGCCCGGTTGACAGAGCTGCCCCTCTTCCCTCGGAATTGCCTGACTGCCAAACCCCAGAGCTGAAATGGGCCTGTGCCTTCCTCTTCCTTTCTGGGATCTCCTGGACCTTGAAAGCCCCCTTTGCCCTCCCTCCTGGCCCCGCCCCTCTCCTGCCGCTGCTTCCTGCCACCCCTCTGCGAAGCCCCACCCGCATCCCGGATGGACCCCAGCTCAGCCCCGGCGGCATCTCGGAAAGGCGCTTTGGAGCTGGGCAGAGTTCGGAAGGACTGTCCACAGTGGGGTGGGGGGTGGGGGAGAGCTTGGCTACAAGGACAGAGTGGGGGGGGGGCTTTGTAGGTTAGAAAGGGGGCGAGGCAACTCACAGCCTAGAATCCCTTCCCCCTTTTTCTGCAACGGAGCCAGGAGTTTCTCGGGGAACCTGACAGGCAGGTGCCCCCATCCCTGGTAGGGAGTGGGATGGAGAAGGAAGAGGTGGGCCCAGGGGCCGTCTGGAAGAGGCAAGAGAAATTTGGTGGCGGAGACCGTACAGCTCCGGCTGCCTCTTCCAGGTGCCGTTCTCCGGCTTCTTCCTGCCCCACGGAGCGTGGGAGGGCGATCCGAGGCACGGGGGCCGCTGGTGGGAGGGCATTCCTTCCTTCCCAAGCCCAAGGGGCCTTTATCTGGGAACAGGGGCTGCAGTGATTCCCTCTGGATGCCCCCCGTCCCACCTGAAATCTCCCCCTCCTGTTAAAATCGCGGGTGGCTTTTCCCAGCCCTCCTTCCGCCTGCTCTTCCCCTATGGGGCTGGGATTGCCGGTCCTGCCCCTTGCCCACCAGGCATCCTAGCAACGGATTCGGTCCCCAGATCCTCCCACAAAACGTTTCCTAGCAACCTGTTCCATCTTTCAGGCTGGAATCCTTTTAGCCGAGTCTCCTAGCAACCCCCTCCCCACACAATCCCACCTGCTCTCTCTCTCTCTCTCTCTCCCCCAAAGCGCATCCTTTGGCAACTCTCTGCATCCCTCTGTTCGCCCCTGGAGTGCCAGGCCGGCTGGGCTGGCACCCATACCCATGGCCTGTGGGCTCCAGGAGGCTGCACCCGGGCCTGTGCCTTCCCTCCTGACTCTCCTTGGCGCAGACCAGCTGCCTCCCTCCTGGCATCCTCTATTTAGCGGGTCTGATCTCAAAGCCCTTGGCTGCCTTCGGCTGGGGGCACCGCACAGGTGGTGGGCGGGCTGGCATTTGCCCTGCATGCAGGGCCTTTATTCCGAAGGGGGGGGGGGAAGCGGAGGGTCGTGGAAGGGCACAGCCTGCTCTTCCTCCTCCCACCGTGGCCCAGGCTGCCAAAAGGAGGCTGGGGGGGCGAGTTGAGAAGGAGACCGAGCAGCTCTTAGCTACTGCATCAGCCCCAGGCAATCAGCTGGCTGCTCCTCCTTCCTTTATTTTTATCCCACCTTGATTTGCAAAGTGGCCCAAATTTGCATTTCCGGTGAAGAGAGCTCTGAACTTCTGCCCAGAAGGGTGGGAGGGGGCTGCCTGCCCGCCGGATCCACATCGTGGGCACGATGGACGGTGACCTTCCCTTTCTCTGGCTTCCCCCCCCCCCACTTCGGAAAAGCACAGTGATCCCCTGGCTACCACTGGGGGTCCTCTGGGAGGGCTGGGGCTGGGGGCTGGTGGGGAGATAGGGACCCCAGGGAGGCTCCTCCTGGGCAGCTGAGGCTGTGCAGGGCTGGTGCCCGTCTCTTTCTCTCTCCCTCCCTCCCTTTCTCTCTCTCTCTCGCTCCCTCCCTCCCTCTCTCTCCCCACTCTCCCTCCCTCTTTCTCTCTGACTCTCTCTCCCTCCCCCCCTCCCTCTCTCTCCCCACTCTCCCTCCCTCTTTCTCTCTGACTCTCTCTCCCTCCCCCCTCTCTCCCCCTCCCTCTCTC